GTCTGTCAAGATCCATCTGGATCTTGAGCCTATCTTCTTGGGTGTTAGCTATTCCTGCCAGCTTAGTATCATCTGCAAATTTGGTAAGTTCCCCTTCTATTCCTTCATCTAAGTCGTTAATGAAGATATTGAAGAGTACTGGGCCTAAGATGGAACCTTGTGGCACCTCACTGCTTACTTCCCTCCATGTAGACTTAGACCAGGGGTGTCCAACCTTTCACCTTCCCTGGGCCACATTAGAAGATGAAAATTTGGTTTGGGCCGCAAATAAAATAAAATAACAGTAACGATACCTGATCATCCAAAAAAACCATAGAAAACATAGTTAACATATTAAATTTATTTGGAAATGAAGTTAATGAGATGTTTTTATTATTTATTAATTATTTATTAAAAATTAATTTTTATCACTTTTTTTTATCACGGTTTATTTTCCGGCCAAATTTTGCGGGGAGGGGGAGAAAGTTTGCCCACCTCACGCCTACCTCCTCTCCTGCAAATGGCCCAGCTGGATGAGGGAGGACTGGAAGGCAGAAGCAGCAGCGGTGGCGGGGGCAGAAGCAGCAGCAGTGGCGGGGGAAGAAGCGGCGGCGGGGGCAGAACTGGCAGCGATGGCGGGGGCAGAAGTGGCAGCGGGGGCAGAAGCGGTGGTGGCGGCAACAGCAGGAGGTGGCGCTCTGACGGTGCCCACCTTTTCTGTTGCTGCTTGGCCTGGCGCTCGCCTTGCCCCGCCTCGCACCTGCCTCTCCTCCTCCTCGCTGGCTCTGGCACGAAGGTTGGGGTGGGCACTGGGCCGCATTACGAGGCGACCTGGGCCGCATGCGGCCCGTGGGCCGCGGGTTGGACAAGCCTGACTTAGACCCATTAAGGACTACTCGTTGAGTATGGTTTGCCAGCCAGTTGTGAGTCCATCTAGTGGTGGTGCTATCTATTCCACTTTTTTCTAGCTTACTAAGAAGTAGGCTGTGGTCTACTTTGTCGAATGTCTTGCTGAAATCTAAATATATTATGTCCACAGTATTTTGCTGGTCTACTAATTTTGTCACTGTGTTGAAGAATGAAATAAGATTGGTTTGGCATGACCTGTTTTTAACAAACCCAAGCTGACTGGTAGTTATTACTTTACTTGTTTCTAGATGTTGGCAGATCTGTTTTTATTATCTTTAAATGGACAAGTGTGGGGGATTCATCATAATGATCACAAATAGGAATACCTCAGTTTCTATCATTACTATTAGGTTTCATCACACAGTCAGCCAGATGTTTAGACTGGATTTGGCATTTTTATTCACCTATCAAGTCCTTCCCAGGACCTGGAATAAAGAGATGTCGTTGTTTGATGGTCTTTAAAGTACATAAGCTGTTCTGAGTAAAGCTGCCTTTTGCAATTGACTGATGGTGATTTTATCAATGCTGATGGTATTCAAGTTGTCCTCCAGAGGCTTTGGGTTATTATTAGTAGTAGTATTTATGACCACCCATTTCAAAATATTCCCAATTATAATTCGATTTGACTTAAACCTTTATAAGTTGTTATTCTAGAATACATTCACCTAAGCTGTAGATCTGAATGTGAGCATAAAAATAAAAGCACATTGCTATTTTGCCTGTACCATCATGGGAACACTACTCCTGCAATGGGTAGATATATGTTCAATTTATGGAGTACCACCTATGAAACAGGTTCTCTGCTGTGGTATCCATGACACAGTTGCTCCTTTCAGGCAAGACGAAAGAGAAGATGGGGGAGAAGTAGGAACACACTGTCCATCTCCTGCTTACTCTATTCCGTATGATAAGAAATCCTACAAAAGCATGGTTTATAACCATGCGCGATATTGTAACTCCAGTAGTTACAGTTTTTTCCATCAATATAGGGAAGATGGAGTGAATCCAATTCACAATTTCTCCCTCCACGCATTCCTTCCAAAATGTCCAGGGAGGGAGGCTATAGGGAAACTGGTATTTTGCAAATAAACTAGATAGACTAAGGCAGTGAATTTAAACAAGGAATTTGGAAAAAAAATCTGTTGTTCATTCCTATACCGTTCTGCTTATAGAGACATGAAGGGATTTTTGTTACTCCATGATTATAGCCATTTCATGTATCATTTTGAAATACATCACTCAGTCTCACACATGCTTGTGTTATAGATGGGGTATGTGTGCTATAACTCAACATGTAATGTAATACCGTGGCAGCAACTGCCTATATGAAATTACAGGTTGCAACAGGTCTGTGCAGCTCCCTAGTGGCAATCTGAAAAGTAACATATTAAAAATATATTTTCAATGTGCTGCCAGATTCCACTGGTTTTCCTTTGTTATTTCTAGAGAAATGTTGCAGTGGGATTGCTCTATATTCAGGAGTTCAATACATGTGAAGCGAGCCATTTACATTCATGAAGAATTAGAATTAGAATTCTTTATTGGCCAAGTGTGATTGGACACACGAGGAATTTGTCTTGGTGCAGATGCTCTCAGTATACATAAAATAAACAATACATTCGTCAAGAGTCAAGAATCATAAGGTAGAACACTTAATAATAGTCATAGGGTACAATAAACAATCAATCATACTAGGAAACAGTCAATATAAATCGTAAGGATACAAGCGACAAAGTTGCAGTTCATACAGTCACAAGTGGGAGGGGATGGGTGATAAGGAGTAATGAGAAGATTAATAGTAATAGTATTGCACACTTTGTAAATAGTTGGACAGTGTTGAGGGAATTATTTGTTTAGCAGAGTGATGGCTTTCAGAAAACTGTTCTTGTCTAGTTGTTCTGGTGTAACGTGTCTATAGTGTTGCTTTGAAGGAAAGAGTTGAAACAGTTTATGTCCGGGATGTAAGGGGTCTGTAAATAAGAAGCTGGGTTTGGTGAGGATTCCCTATCAAGAGCACATTTAATGATAGAACAATGCATTGCGTCACAGGCAACAACCACATTTCATAATATTGTTTGACTCAAATTACATGATGTACATTTGAAAGCAGAATCCAACATTTCAGACTCTTAATTTATGCAGTGTCTCTGGTTAAAAGAGTTCAGATATTACTTTTATAATACAATTTGCGTATCAAGGCAAACTTCAAAAACTCGTGATGTGTTGTCTCAGAGCTTTTAACAAGAAACAAATGTCTAGCAGACACTGAGATTACTTTAAACATGAGATCTTAAAGAAAACAGAATTAAGCTAACTGATTCTTCTTGTCTATTGTTCAGGATCCTTTTATTTATTCCATCCAGATATAAGACATAAAACAACTTGTATCATGAAAACAATGAACAACACTTTTTAGGATGTTTCCTTCCCTTGTTTAAAAATCAGCACTATTCACCTTTTCCAGGACTTTAAAAACTTTTCTGTTGGACTACAGCCAGCCCATGAATTATAATCTATGTACTGTGTACTTATAACGAAATGCTATTACTCAGCCTTAAACTAACAATAAGCTATATATTATTCAATTTCTCAGCCCTTAAAAATGTATTACATTTATATTTTCTCAGGTTTACAAAGGCAGTTTAACATATACATATATCTTTTTATTTTTTTAAAAAAATAATTATATTCTTTAAAGAATATTTGTATAAATTTCAAACAAAACTTAACTGAACCCAATGGATATAGAAACAAATTTGTATTTTAGAATTGTGCCAGTGGACTCAATGAACAATATATAAAATATGAAATTCATACTACTTTCAAGTACATTGTCTGGTGCACATTATTTAGTCATTTTAAATAATAAATTATTAACTATTTTGGACATATTTAAACTTTTAGGAATGTGTTATGAAAAAAGCAATTTACATGGAGACTAGAGCTTAGTTATTTACATTTGGTAGCTGCTGTATACATGATCACACAAAAATACTTATCAGAAGGCAAACTGCTAAAAATATTCTCAAAATATCTTGCAATCTACCAGCATACATTACTATCTCTAGTTCAACATACCTCAAAGTACTGGGCTACAGACACTCATCACTTATTTTCTACATATTTCACTTGGTTTTAAGTCAAGTGAAATAAAGTTCATACCAGAAGTTGTAGCATGCTTTTCAATGTTCTAGCTTCCCATTATTTTAAACATTATATCTATTTTAAATAATTGAATATCGTGGGCATGGAGAGATGTATCTGCATTTTTATTAATGGTTACGGGTACAATTCTGTAGATTCTGTTGCCCTTTCTCCCACTTCAGTACGACTTGATTAATTCAACAGGGCAAGTGGGATTATGAGTGACTCCAAAGCCTATATTATAGAACTACCGTTTTATGTTATAAGATAAAGCAGCTTTTTGAAAATGCATATAATTCTTTTTGTATTGCATAAACTTAATATACAACCTTTTGAATAGTAAATTTTACTGAATTACACGCGAATGTGTATATAACTTAATAAAATTTACTATTTAAAAAGATTGTATATTAAGTACACATGGGGGAGACAGAGAGAGAGAGAGAGAGGAGGGGGAGAGCTTATTTCTGGCAAGAGGCTAGACCAGCCTATGCAATTTTCCTAGCAAGATTTTAGAGCAGCTTGCCATTGCTGCCTTCCTAGGATTGAGAGAAAAAACGACTGGCCCGAGGTTAGCCAGCTGGATTTCTGCTAAATTGGGACTAGAATTCATAATTTTCTGGTTCATACCCTACTGCTTTAAACTATTACACCAAACTATCTTTCTATATTCACTTTACTACATGCAAATACTAAACTTGAAATCTGTCATTAGATGACCATTGCTTCTTATTTTTTCAGTTATACTTAACTAGGAAACATGGACTAAAGTTATTACTCCAATGACTGGAATATTTAATGTTCACAGAGACATCTTTCTGTTTTACCTAGGTCCTTCTTGAAAATACAGCAAGACCTGATTTGAACTGATAGTTCGTTGCCCTAATAAATCTCATGTTGTGGGTCAGTGTATACTTACGATGCATTTTCTTTTCCTGGCATAACTTTCTCTATTCTTATTTTGATAGGTTGTTCTGCCATATCATCTGACTGACTGAAACTTCCAAATATTAACCTGTTGCTTTGTGTCCTAAAGGAAAGGTCAGGATTTCCAGCGGGGCTGCAATAATTGTTATCCCTGGTTATTGTTAGCCTTACATATTAGCTTCTTTTGCTTGCTTGCCTTTTTTTTTGCATGCCTGCTTTCCCATTCTCGATTAAAGTTGCCATCTTTGGGGGTTTTGTTCTGTTGCTTCACAAGCTGAGTAAGAGACCAGTACACTTATTGCCTCAAAGGAGCGAATGTGTTTGTGTGAGGGACTACTGCGAAAGCACCTATTTTGGATCCTGTTTTTCATGCCTCCTTGTGGTTGGAGGGAATAGAATTGGCCACTGAGCCAATAAATATGTACATCAATATATGTTTCTAATTTAGTTTACATGTATACCTCCTATACACAGAGTTGTATCAGTGCATTGAGAGAGAAGGACAGAAGAAATTAAGACAGGGAAAATATTTATGAGACATATCTCTTTATTCCACCTTCTATCCCTATTGCAATTTGCATCCAAGCTGACTTAATTGCATAGTGCAACTGTAATGAAATTGGCCAAGGCAGATTTATATATTTTGTGCCCATAAGCATATTTTAAAACTGGAGAACTGCTCCAAATATATTTCTTTGAATGTAGCCTGCATCAAAGCTGTCTCTGCCTATGGAAAGTTAGCATACTGGAGGCAAGGTTAGATTCAATGCCTCTCCACTCCCCACTATGTTACATATTCATATACAGGAAAATGTGTCTTTTCCCATTGACAGAACTGCTCAGCATTCACATGTCCTCTTTGAGACATGACCTGTCAGACTTCCTAGTCATACAGTAGATGAGAGTGCAAAAAAAGAATTATTATGAAGCTGTTGTGCAAATCCTGTCACATCTTCTGATTTTCAGTCCTTGGTGTCTATAGCGCAGGTGAGGTTTTCATGTCACACATATCGCAATGATATTTTTAACTGCAACTTCATATAGGGCTTGCATGCTACTCAATATAAATATTTTATACCTTAAGACGAACAAAAGTGATAATGATATTGCTACGATATTGCTCCATCTGAGAATTTATGGAGATGCAGATAATTCCTGACTTACCACCATTTGTTTTGAGGGATTATTCAAAGTTATACCATAGTCACGTGATCAAAATTCAGATGCTTGGCAACTGGCATGTATTTATGATGGTTGCAGTGTCCTTCTGATAAAAAAGTCAACAGGGAAACCAGATCCGCTTAACAACCATGTTAAACAAACGTAACAACTGCAATGATTCACTTAACAACTTTCACAAGAAAGGACATCAAATCGGGCAAACTCACTTAACAACTGTTTTGCTTAGCAATGGACATTTTGGGGTCAGTTGTAATCGTATGTCAAGGATTACCTGAAGTGCCATAGTCAGGTTTTGCTACTGCTCTGCATAATATTGCTTACCCACCAAAGTGAGTAGCATGATTGGCATTAGATATTCTAACCCATCCTTCTGTCCACAAGGCAGCCTATAAATTCCCATGTCTCTCCTCTCCTCTCCTCTCCTCCCCCCCTCCCCCTGCCCCCTCCCCTCTTTTTATTGAATGGAAGCCATTAATTTGTAAGAAAAAAAAACCAACCCAAATTATTCTATCATTTGGAAATGCACTTACTTTCTTACAGGCCTACAAAATTTTACATTCGTGTTATGGGTCTGTATCATTCTTCTGTATTATTTATTCTGCTTTTCAGTCCCTGAATTTCACAAGCCACCAATGTCGTACATATTAAATGATTTCACAAGTTTGTAATTAAGCATTTCAAATATTTCCAAAACATGTTCTGATTCCCCCTACCTCCTTGCTCACTTATCTTTTCCTGTTACTCTCATTTTTCATTTTTGGCATGCTTGTGGAGAGGGTTTTTTTTTTTTTTACTGCATTTCTTTCATATTTTATCTATGGCTTTTTATTTTCTGAATTGCTTTTTCAGAAAACTAATCCCTTTTTAACAAAACTATTTAAAAGATATGGCTAGGCAAATAGTGATATAGTAAGCCAGAATGTTATCTAATTTGAGACAAATGGATCAAATCCATCCTTCTCTATGGTTTAAATTGCAACTCAATGTTTATATTACTATTTAAGTACCTAGACTTGCACAGAGAAGAATCTTCAGTGGAGAGTCTACAGTACATCCTGGCTTTTTCCAAAAGCAGAAAGGTCTTTAAAATGAGATTTCCAGACTTTTGTTTTTTTTCCCATGTTTATGCTTGTGACAAATAGACTTTTAAAATAGGTCAAATTGCTAAGCATGTTGTATAGTTGATAAGATTTTCATTGCACAACCTATACTTATCAGTAATTCTTAACTCTGAAAATTAATGAGCTCAGATTATTATACTGTGTCCTTTATACTCCTTAAAAATGAGATAAACATAAGAACTATGCAAAGCTTATATTCAGTGATGATTATTTTGACTCATTCCTTCAAATCAGTTTTTAAATTGTTTTAATGCATCTATCTAATCAAATTGGCTAACTCTGCACTGATTTGAAGGTTTGTTGGAGTTTTGTACCTTCACATCTATGCTTTTTATAGACATAACTATTTTTAAATTAAGTCATCATTCCAACGAAAAAGTAACTTTTAATTCATCTTGCAAATTCATATAGGATTTTGCAAACCCTTAAAATTTGCAAACCCTTAAAAAGCAAGTAGGTCCAGTGTCTGGTATATGATTAAAATCATCCTGCAGCTAGCCGAAAGAACAGAAATTATTCTGTTTTTCCGATGAATCTGCTTATTAACAATTCAAGCAGAAAGAAGTTCAGAAATAGCCAATCATGGTGAAACCCAGGATTAATTATCTAATACTTAGCATCTCTTGAACCTTGAAGAAATTCCTGCCAGTATAGCTTGTAGGGAGGCCACTGTGGCATGAAGAAATGTCAAAGTTTTGACTGTTTGCCAAATTATTTAAAGATATCTCTCTCTTTCACATATGGTATTTTCAAATAGCTAGATGATTGCTAGAGAAGGACATTTGAATAACCCATCAATTGCTGAAAGGACCTGATTGGATTTATTCCAGGTGATTCCAGCATATAAGTATAAAATACAACAGTGGGAAAAGTCAAATTCGAAATAACACAGGTCTGCTTTTGTTTCTTTTTGAAAAAGATGTTTGGTGGTTGGGGAGAGAAAAGGTTGGATTCATTGTAGTGATGCTTATTAACTTCATGTGATCTATTGCTTGGCAAATGTGGCTTCTCACATGCTAATATTACCAGCACACAGTGACATATTGCACTGAAATCCTACAGTAAATCTGTTTTAGATTAAGATTTTCTGGGCTATTATGATAAACTAAACTTTGTTTTTGAAGTCTCAATCATTCACTGTAAGATATATCAAAAGGGATATGTACAGACTAGCTTTCAAACATGGGCTATATGCAAAAAACAAAATCAATCTATCCATGAAAAATTTAGTTCAGACATCTGTGTACAAAATATTATGGCTGAAGGGTAAGGAAGCCAACAAATTTCTTGAACAAAATGCTTTATGCTTGTGCTGTGGTGAAAACAGCACATCGATGTAACCATCAATATTAATAATCAATTGATGGGGGTGGGGTTGGATGAATTGCATCTATCACATCAGTGTTGTATATTGGTAGTGGTTGATCTTGGTATAAGGTTCCTCGTACAATAAAAATGACTAGCGTAGAACAGACATCCCAAACCTCTGAGGCTAGTAGGCATATTTGGAATTTTGAGAATATGTTATTGATACCCACCACAATATGTTTAACCTGGTAAATGTGTTAGAAGAAGAAAAATGTCCAGGAGTTAAACTACTGAGTTTTTTCTTGTCTCATAGTCTCTTACCATTTCAGTCTACCTTTGTCCTCCTCCTCCTCCTCCTCCTCCTCCTCCTCCTCCTCCTCCTCCTCAGAACATACTTCTGACTGCTAGCCACTACTATTATTTTCTAAAAATGCCTTCAGGGGTCAAAAACATTATTGGAAATAAAATTATGCTTGAGGCTGCCACTTTGCAGCGTGTAGGCTTCCTGGTTATTTATATTTAATGTAAAGAGCCTCCATAAATAAAATCAGATGGGATGTGGAACTTGGCAATTTCCAAAACAACTATCCCAGCTTCTTTGGTGCTATAGATACATTTCTGTGGATTCATTTTGGTAGGAATGTATCTATTGTTATGGATTACTGTGCCACATCCACACAGAGGCAGTTCCATAAAGTTTTTTTAAAAATAGTATTAACATTGTGAAGAGTATATATATATATATATATATATATTGCAAACAGTCAGCTTCACATGATCCCAGTATTTTCCTGATCAACGGATCCAGGGGAATAAATTAGGATCAGAGATTACAGTTCTTAGCTTCTAGAGCAGGGGAATGTAATAGGAAATGGATGTTATCTTTTTAAATATTTGCAGTTGACTGAAAATCAGATTTGATCACAGATATTTGTTTTTAATTTTTTTATTACTTTCTAAGTAGGTCAAGGTTGGTGAACATACCTAAAACCCTTCCTCCTCTTATTTTCTCCATATCAAAGCTTCTCTACCCTCCTAGCCCATTCACAATAAAGAGACTTGTAAAATTGTTGGGCTGAGACAGTGACTAGTCCAAAGTCACCCAACCAGTTTTCATGCCTAAACATGACTAGAACTTATAGCCTCCTGGTTTCTAGGACAGCGCCTTAGCACTACACCAAACTGACCATCATCAATGTCCATTTTTTTTAAAAAAGTTGAAAAACAAAAACCCATTTATATTATATAGCCTCCCTATGCTTTATTGCATATTATTGTTTAAATGCATAGCTCCAGGTATACATTTCTAATTGCTCAGAATCGAAGCTAGATTTGTAAATCCTGTCTATGTCACAAAACTGAGACAACAGCCATCAAAATGGCTACAAAGCAAATCAAACCAGCAGTTAGTTTTTAACTTCAAGGTCATTGGGATTTTGAACATTGCACTGAATGATAAAACTTTATTAACTGTCTGATTGGTCTTTAATATCTGGAAAAGCTTACTTTGTGAAAAAATGGATCATCATTTATTTTTCACAGAACCAAGTGAGGCTTTTAAATATTCAATGCAGCTGAATTATGCCATGTGTTTGTTTGCCATTTTAAGTGTAATCATCCAGCACAATGAAGTAAAAATAACAAATAGGTTGACATCTGAAAAAGATGCTGTGCAGGTTGCAAATAACTTCAGTCATCCATGATACAGTGGATTGCAATTTGTCATTATGAAATGTAGACAGGGCAAGGTAGTATCTACACATGGAAGGACATTCACAGGTATTTCTACAATTCCTTCTCAATATGACCATGTTATTAATGGAATACATACTAGAACACAGTTATGGCAACTGAAAACCATTCACTTCTCTCCTTGGATCTTTGTTGAGTGAGGTTCATCCATGGGTCTCATTTTTTAGGGCTTCAAAGATTATAAGGCTTGTTGCTGGTTTTTGCAACATCACAGGATGGATTGGGTAAAAATGATAAATATTAACATTGGGATGGACCACTTCTTACACTGGCAAGATGGATTTCAGCTATCTGCTGTTTCATAATTCAGTGCTGAGTATGTTTGCCAGGCAGCAGCCTTTGACGTACAACAGAAAATAGTTAGTCCAAAAATATTTGCCTATAATCAAGCATACTGCCTGCAAAATATATTACAATTTCTGCTGCTTGCTATTGCATAGTAGGTAGAAGAAAATAAGGTGACCCTTGTAGATATTTTTAAAAAGAAAAATATTGATTTGACTGCTTTTAAACTTGTAAAATAAGGATGAATAAGAAAACAGGAAATATAGACGCATACCTCAATTTTGCTTAGGTGTTTGCCAGCAGTCAATTATTCTGAAAATGCCCTCAGTCAAAGTTGCA